GCCTGGGCAGGAAGGGGGCAGAAGTGACTGGTAGGCGAGGGGTTAAAAAAAGCCCTATCAACATACAGTTAGAACAAATATATCCCCCAAAGTAAAAGAAAACCCCCAAATAATACCCCCTGTGAAAAAGCCCTGGTTATTCACAAGATCACCAGGTGGAAATAAGGGGAAAACAGCTGGAAAGAACAACAGAACATATGTGGCCAACATATCTAAAGATTGTTGCAAACTGCAACATAATACCAATTTGCTTTTTGATTTAGAGCTAGTTCACACTAGGTGACGTTCTGTGCACTTTTTTCTGCATCAAAAATGCATGCACAGTATTTTCCATGTATTCCAATGGCCCTAGTTCACACCAGTGCAGTCAATTCCAGTCAGTTTCCAGTGCAGAAAAAAAAAAAAGTAGAACATGCTGCATTTTTTCCTGCACAGAACTGCACTGGAACATGGTAAAATGCATCAAAAATGCACCAGAACGCACCAAAAACGCACTGGAACGCACATGTCCCTATTTGAATTGAAGAAAGAAAGAGAAGAAAAAATGAACTGGAATGCATAAAAAACACACTGGAACACATCAAAAACGCACATACAAAAACGCACATACAAAAACGCATCCGGAGCGCGTTTCTATAGTGTGAACTGGCACTAAGGGCTAGTTCACACTAGATGCAGTCCAGTGCATTTTTTTTTTCTGCATCAAAATTGCATGCACAGTGTTTGCCATGTATTCCAATGGCCCTAGTTCACACCAGTGCAGTCAGTTCCAGTCAGTTTCTGGTGCAGAAAAAAAAGTAGAACAGAACCATACTGGAACATAGCAAACTGCACCGGAACTGCATGTGGACTGTAAGCAAAAACGTATCCAGAATGCATCCGGAGTGCGTTTTTGTGGTGTGAAAACTATGGTATAGACACTGGAATTTTTTGTACTACTAATGGCGGTGATTAGCGACTTAAAATGGGATTGCGGCAATTTGACACTAACTGATGCTGGGGGGGAACTGACTAAGTGCCACTGACAGTTTCCAGTGCAGAAAAAAAAAAGTAGAACATGCTGCATTTTTTCTGCACAGAACCATACTGGAACATAGCAAACTGCATCAAAACTGCACCGGAACTGCGTGTGTGTGAACTGCAAGCAAAAACATATCCAGAATGTATCCAGAATGTATCCGGAATGTATCCGGAATGTATCCGGAATGTATCCAGAATGTATCTGGAATGTATCCGGAATATATCCGGGATGTATCCAGAATGTATCCGGAGTTTTTTTTGTGGTGTGAACTGGTCCTTAGGGTTGGTTCACAGTATAGAAACGCTCCAGATGCGTTCCGGATGAGTTTCTGCATGAGCATTTTTGACACATTTTTGGTGCATTCCGGTGCATTTTTGATGCATTTTACCACATTACAGTACAGTTCTGAGCAGGAAAAAAATGCTGCCTGTTCTACTTTTTTTTCTGCATCCGGAACGCACTGGAACTGCAAGCACTGATGTTAACTATGACATTGACAACCATAGAACCTACTTTCTGTGCATTTTGGATGCAGAAAAAAAAAGCAACTGAAATGCATGTAGTGTGAACTGACCCTTAAAATTGGATTTCCCACCCACTGGACAGGTCATTATTCAATACGGCTAGAAGCATGCTTGCAGAATTGGAAGAAAAGCTCAATATTATTATTATTATTATTATTATTATTATTATTATTATTATACAGGATTTATATAGCGCCAACAGTTTGCTCAGCGCTTTACAATATAATGGGAGACAATACAGCAACAATACAGTTCAATACAAGAGGGATAGGATCCTTGGAGCTTACAATCTAAGAGGGAGGGGCTAGTGGTACAAAAGGTAGTAACTCTGTGGGATGGACTGGTAGGAAGAGTAGAAGATTCCATTATTAGCTGAAGGCGGGATAGGCTTCCCTGAAGAGATAGGTTTTCAGAGATCGTCTAAAAGTGAGCAGAGTAGGCGATAGTCTGATAAATTGGGGTAGAGAGTTCCAGAGGATGGGGGAAGCTCTGGAGAAGTCCTGGAGACAAGCATGGGAGGAGGAGACAAGGGAGCTAGAGAATACATTACAATATAATACAATACTAAGTGATAAAGGTTCCAGCAAAAAAAAAAAAATGTATCTGCTAACACTCTTCGTAGAAAGAAGGAAAAAAGGTCGCTGAGTAACACGTGAGTCAATTTATTTTTAGTTTCACATATCTGTATGTTTAGTAGGTGTGTTCTATTTCCGTGTAAAACTCATTTCACTGCCAACAAAAGGACCCTCTTAGTAACTTGCTATACAAACTTTTTCCATTTTGTTGGTTGGGGGGGGGGGGGGATGTACATTACTAAACCAAGAGTTCACATCAAGTCACCCACTATAATACTTTCACAACAGTCCTCATTTACACCCAAAGGTGACCTTTTCAACATCAACTTTGACATCAACCTGGGTGAACTGGCTACAATGTCCAATGATCCCCCCCCCCCCCCCCCCCCCCCCCCCCGAAAAAAAAAAAAATAAATAAATAAATAAATAAATAAATAAAATTGGCAAAAGCAGGGAGAACCTGAAAGTTGGGAAAGGTAGGAAACATTTGAAGGCTTGTTCTGAGTGTTGCTTGGACTGGAAGGAAGGGATCACCCCGGAACTTTTAACTATTAGTGCAAATAAAGAATCATGGATATTAGATAAAGTGATATTTTTTTCCCTTTCCAGCAGATAATTACAGTGCCTTGAAAAAGTATTCATACCCCTTGAAATTTTCCACATTTTGTCATGTTACAGCCAAAAACGTAAATGTATTTTATTGGGGTTTTATGTGATAGACCAACACAAAGTGACACATATTGTATATATATATATATATATATATATATATATATGTATACCACTGCGTAAATTGACGGCGCTATAGAAGTACCTGAAATAAATAATAATAATAAATAATAATTGTGAAGTGGAAGGAAAATGATAAATGGTTTTCAACATTTTTAACAAAGAAAATGTGGTGGTCATTTGTATTCAGCCCCACTGAGTCAATAATTTGTAGGACAATTCCAGCTGAAAGTCTTTTTGGGGATGTCTCTCCAAGCTTTGCACATCTAGAGAGGGACATTTTCTGCCCATTCTTCTTTGCAGAATAGCTCAAGCTCTGTCAGATTGGATGGACAGCGTCTTAACAGCAATTTTCAAGTCTTGTCACAGATTCTCCATTGGATTTAGGTCTGACAACGCGGAGATGTGAACGTGTCCCATAGGAAATCATGTTAACCAGTTCCCAACCGCGCTATAGCCGAAGGACAGCTACAGTGCAATTGTCTAATTCTGGGACAATGTCCATGAATGTCATTCCAGAACACGCCCCCTGCGTGCACCCGGCTACGGACACAGCTGATCACGTGATATGGTAAACAGCCAATCACGGCGTCCTCTTAAAGCGTGATCAGCTGTGTTCAATGACACAGCAGATCATCGGGTAAATACAGTTGTCAGTTATCGCCTGCACTTTCCTCGTGCTGTCACAGTGTGGGGAAAGTACTACCAAGAACCAGCAATTGTCAATGAAGGGATTCTGATGATCAGTGCCCAGCAGTGCCGCCCACCTGTGCCCATCAGTGCCACCCATCAGTGCTGCACATCAGAGCCACCCATCAGTGCTGCCCAGGGGCGGACTGACAACTCATGGGGCCCCCGGGCAATAGGGGATCATGGGGCCCCTGTGTCCTTGCCCACACTCAAACCACACCCAAAAAAGCCTATGAAAGGTATGAGGGACATCTCATGGGGCCCCTTCTGACCCTGGGCCCCCGGGCAGTGCCTGAGTTCCCAAATGGTCAGTCCGCCCCTGGACTGCTGCCCATCAGTGCCACCCATCAGTGCTGTACATCAGTGCCGCCTATCAGTGCAGCATCATCAGTGCCAGCTCATCAGTGCCGCTTATCAATGCTGCCTATCAGTGCCTCCTATCAGTACCCATCAGTACTGCCTATCCGTGCCACCTCATCAGTGCCCATCAGTGCCACCTATCAGTGCCCATCAGTGCAGAATCATCAGTGCCAGCTCATCAGTGCCACCTATCAATGCCGCCTATCAGTGCCTCCTATCAGTGCCCATCAGTGCTGCCTATCTGTGCCACCTCATCAGTGCCCATCAGTGCCACCTCATCAGTGCCAATCAGTGCTGCCTATCAATGCCAATCAGTGCTGCCTATCAGTGCAGCCTCATCAACGTACATCAGTGAAGGAGAGAAATTACCTGATTGCAAAATTTTATAATAGAAACAAAGAAAAACTTTTTTTTTTTTTAATTTTGTGCTCTTTTTTTGTTTATAGCGCAAAAAATAAAACACCCAGAGGCGAGTAAATACCACCAATAGAAAGCTCTATTTTTGTGAAAAAAAATGATAAAAATGACCGCGCAATTGTTATTCAAAGTGTGACAGCGCTGAAAGCTGGCCTGGGCAGGAAGGGGGTAGAAGTGACCAATAGGCAAGAGGTTAAATGGACTGTAGTGCATTTCTGCAAAATGCAAAACGCACTGCAAAACGCATAGCTGTGAACCAGGGGTAATACTGTGTTGATGTAAGTGTACTAGTATGGCTGCGATCATTTTAGCCACTTTACTGTGATGAACAATAAGAACAGCAACACAATCATTTTTGTGGTTTTGTCATTTGCCAACTTGTTATTGTTTTTTTATGTTGTACTTTCCAGATGAATTATTACATATAACAGAACATTTACATACGTGTCATTGTTATTGTACTAACAGTAATGATATTAAGTGCCTGCTGCGATTTCAGATGTGATTTGGGAATTGACATCGCACCTGAAATCACGTCTAATGAATGTGAATGTCAGTGTTTTAACATGTGCGATTTGCTGCAGCGGGATTTCTAAAGTAGTTCTTGCATTCCTTTTTCTGCAGTTTTGTTGAGATTTCACAAACATAGAATATAATGGAGATCACACTGCAAATTGCAAGAAATGATTGAAAATCTTCACAAGTAGCAATAAAGTCTTCAGAGATCGCACTTGAAATCGCGCACAAATCACACTTAGGGCCAGTTCACACTACATGCATTTCAGTGTGTTTTTTCTGCGCACAGAAAGTAGGTTATATGGTTGTCAATGTCATAGTTCACATCGGTGCTTGCAGTTCCAGGGCGTTTCGGGTGCAGAAAAAAAAGTAGAACAGACTGCATTTTTCCTGCACAGAACTGCACTGGAACATGGTAAAACACATCAAAAATGCACCAGAACGCACCAAAAACGCGCTGGAACGCACATGTCCCTATTTGAATTGAAGAAAGAGAGAGAAGAAAAAATGAACTGGAATGCATAAAAAACACACTGGAACACATCAAAAATGCGGCAAAAACGCACATACAAAAACAAATCCGGAGCGGTTTCTATAGTGTGAACTGGCACTAAGGGCTAGTTCACACTAGATGCAGTCCAGTGCATATTTTTTCTGCATCAAAATTGCATGCACAGTGTTTGCCATGTATTCCAATGGCCCTAGTTCACACCAGTGCAGTCAGTTCCAGTCAGTTTCTGGTGCAGAAAAAAAAAGTAGAACAGAACCATACTGAAACATAGCAAACTGCACCGGAACTGCATGTGGTGTGAGCTGTAAGCAAAAACGTATTCAGAATGCATCCAGAGTGCATTTTTGTGGTGTGAAAACTATGGTATAGATACTGGATTTTTTTTTAATACTAATGGCGGTGATTAGCGACTTAAAATGGGAGTGCGGAGGGCAATTTAACATTAACTGATGCTGGGGGGGGGGGGGGGGGGAACTGGCTAAATGCCACTGAAATCACCAGTGACATTAAAGGCCAGTTCAAACTCCATGCGTTTCACTTGCTTTCTTTCTGCATCCAAAACACACGCGTTCCCAGTGCAGTTCTCTGCAGAAAAATGCAGCCTGTTTAACTTTTTTTTTCTGTAACCAAATTGCATTGGAACTGCAAGCACTGATGTGAACTAGGACATTGACAACCATATAACCTACTTTCTGTGCGTTTTGGATGCAGAAAAAAAGCAACTGAAACGTATGCAGTGTGAACTGGCCCTAATACTGTGTTGATGCAAGTGCACTAATATGGCTGCAATCACTTTATCCACCCAGGTCACACTGATCCTGACTTTGAAATTATGTGACTTATAGTGAAGTCGCAGGATTTCAAAGTTGGATGACTTGCTGATTTGAAATGCGATTTGCATAGACATCAGACGCAAATGTCTATGCAAATCGCACCAACAACAGCGCATGCACTACTTTAGAAATCGGTGCGACTTCGACCAAACCGGAACCACACCGATATGACCGCTGTAATTGCGGACAACAGGGTGCGACTTGCCATGTGATTCGGAAGTCGTATGGCATGCAAATCGCATTCCAAGTCGCATCCGATGTGAAAGGGGACTTAATTGAAATGAATAATAAGAACAGAAACACAATCATTTTTGTGGTTTTGTCATTTGCCAAGTTTTTTTTTGTTTTTGTTTTATGTTTTTTCTTATGTTGTACTTTCCTGAGGAATTATTACATATAACAGTATATTTATATATGTGTCATTGTTATTGCTTTTAGCAGAAGGCAAACGGTAATAACAATAACAAGATCTTTCTGTGATTTCTGTGGTCAGCTTCTTTTATCAGCTGCCTGTCCGCCCTATAGCAGAAGTCAGGGGCGGACTGACTGCCCGAGGTCCCAAGGTCAGTAGGGGGCCCCATGAGATGCCACTGGTACCTTTTTCATATGCTTTTTTTTTGAGTTTTGGGCAAGGAGACAGGGGCCCCATGATCCCCTATTGCCCGGGGGCCCATGAGTTGTCAGTCTGCCCCTGATTGAAGTACTGCTACAGGGCGGCACGGGTGCGCAAAATCACGTATATATATATATACGTGATTTTGCATTTCAGGGTAGGGCGCACACACTGTGCATGCCCTACCTGTGCTGCTGTTCGCGGTCGTGGCTGTCAATCACTGGGTCCGGGCCAGTGATTGACGAGCAACTCCGATGGGGGGGAGAGAGAACTGTATGTAAACAATACAGATCTCTCCCCTGTCAGCTCCTGCACACTGCTTTGTATGGCTGTGCATAGCACAGCCATACAAAGTAGTGTGCTTACAGTAAAACAGCACACAGTTAACCCTTTGATCGCCCCACATGTTAACCCCTTTCTGCCCAGTGCCATTAGTACAGTGTCAGTGCTTTTTATTAGCACTGATCACTGTATTGGTGTCACTGGGGATGTCAGTGACACCAAGTCAGTTCCCCCCAGTGTCAGAATGCCCGCTGTAGTCCCTCTATGTTGCTGATCGCCACCATTACTAGTTGAAAAAAAAATTCCAGTATCTATACCGCTATTTGTAAACTTTTACGTAAACCATGTATTGGGATTTTATTTCAGGAAAGGCATGTCGCAGAATACATTTTGGACAAAATTTATGATGAAATTAGATTTTTTTTACATTTTTTTACCGGACATGTTTAATAGCAAAAAGTCAAAAATATTTTTTTTTTCTCAAAATTGTCAGACTTTTTTTTTTATAGCACAAAAAATAAACAACGCACAGGTGATCAAATACCTCTGAAAGAAAGCTCAATTCATGAGAAAAAAAGGACGTACATTTAATTTAGGTGCAGTGTTGCATGACCGCGCAATTGTCAGCTAAAGTAACGCTGTAATGCAAGAAATGGCCTGGTCAGGAGAGGGGTAAATCCTCTGGAAGGCAAGTACCAGGCAGTTATCAGCAATGGATTTCACTGCTGAAAACAAGATTTTTTTTTATTCCTATCTAGGGGCGGACTGACAACTCATGGGGCCCCTCGGGCAATAGGGGATCATGGGGCCCCTGTGTCCTTGCCCACACTCAAAGCACACCTAAAAAAGCCTGTGAAAGGTACCAGGGGCATTTCATGGGGCCCCCTACTGACCCCGGGCCCTCGGGCAGTGCCAGAGTGTTCAAATGGTCAGTCCGCCCCTGGTTCCTATCTTCAGTTTCAGAATCTCAAGTCTCGATCTAAATCCCCTGAACCCCTAAACCTTAGGCTGACACTTAGGGCCTGTTCACACTATAGAAACGCAGTGTGGGTGCGTTTCAGATGCGTTTCCGCATGCACGTTCTTGAACTATTCCGGTGTGTTTTTGATGCGTTCTTGATGCGTTCCGGTGCATTTTGTAAACATTCCGGTGCGTTTTTTTATGCATTCAAGTTCATTTTTTCCCCTTCTTCAGCCCAGGTTCACACTGATGCGGTGCAGCACATTTGCACAGGAACCGCACCGCATTCCTGTGTATATATGCATATGCAATTTGTGTGCGGTACAATTTGAGCCATACATTTTGTATGGCTCAAATCGCACCGCATGCGCCCCAAAAAAAGTGCATGACCCTTTATTAGTCCTCATCAAAATCGGATCACACCCATGCGATCCGATTCTGCACATCGCACTGCGTTTTGCAAACTGATTTCGGGGTGTCGTTAACTTAAAATACATACCCGCAGTCGTTCGTATGAACGGGGTGCGATTATGATGCGGTGTGGAAATCGCACAGAAACTGGTGTGAATTCTGCACCGCATCAGTGTGAACTCAGTCTTAATCTAAATAGGGACATGTGCGTTTTGGTGCATATTAGTGCATTCCGGTGCATATTTGATGTGTCTTACCACATTCCAGTACAGTTCTGGGCAGAAAAAAATGCAGCCTGTTCTTTTTTTCCTGCAACCGAAACGCACTGGAACTGCAAGCACTGATGTGAACTATGACAACCATATCACCTACTTTCTGTGCATTTTGGATGCAGAAAAAAAGAAACTGAAATGCATGTAGTGTAAACAGGCTCTAAGCCCCCGGTCACATCAAGCTCAACTTTGAAATCGTGCAACTTACATTGAAGCCGCACAATTTCAAAGTCAGGTGACATGCCGATTGACATGTGATTTGCAGAGACATCTGACACAAATCGCATTTGAATTGGCAAATCGCACCAAAATCGGTGCAGCTCCGACCAATTCAGAACCGCACCGACATGACCGCTGTAATTGCGGACAATAGGGTGCAATTTGGCATAATATTTGCAAGTCGCAGTGCATACAAATCGCATGCCAAGTCGCACCTGATGTGACTGGGGGGGGGTTAGTCTAGGTTCACACGCATTTTAGAGTGTGTTTTGCATTTTGCAGAAATACACTACAGTCCATTTAACATGATTTTCTATGGAACACGTTCACATCTCCATGTTTTTACCCGGTGCATTTTTTTGGGAAGGGTCAGGGACTTTTTTAAATGTAAAATGTTGCATTTTTGGTTCAATAGACTTCAATGGTGACGCAGCAGAAATGCATGCAGTGCGTTTTTGACGGGTTTGAGGCGTGTTGTGTTTTAATCTGCGTAGAAACAAGTTGGGAAAAAATGCAAACCGCATAAAAAACGCATGTGCAAAAACGCAAAATGCACCGCAGAAAAACAGGTCAAACCGGAACCGATCCGGTGGCGGCTGGTCACAGAGATGAGTGAAGGAAATATGGCCTCCGCTCATCTCTATGGCCTACGAGGACCAGAGCGACGTCATGGCGACGTTCACATCAAGCCTGACTTTGAAATCATGCGACTTACAGTGAAGTCGCACGATTTCAAAGACGGGGGACCCGCCAATTTCAGGTGCGATTTGCAAGACATCTGATTCAGATGTCTATGCAGATCGCACAATAAGTAGTGCATGCACTACTTTTGAAATCGGTGCGGCTCCGACCAAGTCAGAACCGCACCGATATGACGGCTCTATCTGCGGACAATGGGGTGCGACTTGGCATGCGATTTGCAAGTCTCAGGGCATGCAAATCACATGCCAAGTCGCACCGATGTGAACGGGGTGTAATCCTTAATTTTTAATCTGAACTCTTACACTTAACACCCTAAATATTTCCTTATCTTTAAATGGAAAGAAGAAAGTGAGCGCTATATGTGTCAAAGCAGCTGGGACACCAAAAAGTTACCAATACAACCTTCCCAAAGCAAAATCGAAAAAATAAAGGTGCAGCGCCTGTAAAATCAACAATATATATCATGCGGTAAGAAAGCATATAACTTAGTATATGGTGCACATTCAAATGTCTATGTGATGGTCAAGATATGAAATATGGTATTAAGGATTTCTTCCCAACCACTTCTGGTGATAAATAAATAAATTGCGCACTCACCAGATGCACAAAGTATTTGCGCATTTGAGAAAACAATATCTCACTGGGTCAGCTGGAACACCTTGAAGAGGGTTTCTCCCATCTGATATGGATTCCTCCCTAGGTACCTCCTGGATGATAGCAGCTTCCCTGTCCTCTGCACAGAACTCTGCGGATGGTTGGACTCATAAACAGCCCAAAAAAGGAGGAGGCCACATAGCATGATACTGCTTCAAAATATTGATTTCCAAGTCAAGGTATAAGGTAGGTAACAGAAAACAAAATTTTATCTTTAAAACTGACCTCCAGGAAATGTGAAGATTCTACCTTGCAGTGGGGCTGTGCCTGGTTTAGGTCTAGGGGGTATAGAAAAATAATAGATTTAGTCCTCAATCCCCCAATCCTCCATGATGCTAGACCGGTGCCCGCAGTATTTTCTCCCCCATGCTTCAGCGGTCTAAGATCAGGAACAGGGGCGGACTGACAACTCATGGGGCCCCCGGGCAATAGGGGATCATGGGGCCCCTGTCTCCTTGCCCAAACTCAAAAAAGCCTATGAAAAAAGGTACCGGGGCATCTCATGGGGCCCCCTACTGACCCCAGGCCCTCAGGCAGTGCCCAGGTTTCCAAATGGTCAGTCCACCCCTGATCAGGACAGATGCTGGATCCATAGCACTGCATTGGACATGAAGATGCTGAAAGACAGTTCACTGGGGGGAAGCAGACAATTAGGAAAGTAATAGTGACAGCCCTCTTGATCAAATGCACTGTTTTGTACAGGGGCGGACTGACCATTTGGAAACTCGGGCACTGCCCAAGGGCCCGGGGTCAGTAGGGGGCCCCATGAGATGCCCCTGGTACCTTTTTCATTTTTTGAGTGTGGGCAAGGACACAGGGGCCCCATGATCCCCTGTGTCCTTACCCACAGTGAAGGAGAAAAATTACCTGTTTGCTAAATTTTATAATAGAAACAAAGAAAAACATTTTTTTTCCAAATGTTTTGCTCTTTTTTTTGTTGATAGTGCAAAAAATAAAACACCCAGCGGCGATTAAATACCATCAAAAGAAAGTTCTATTTGTATGAAAAAATGTCATATAGGTGCAGTGTTGCATGACCGCGCAATTGTCATTCAAAGTGCGACAGCACTGAAAGCTGAAAATTGGCCTGGGCACGAAGGGGGTAAAGTGTCCGGTAGGCAAGAGGTTAAATTAACCCTTCACTGACCTATTCAGTTGCAGGTACTGAGGAGAAATTTATCATCAAATTTACAAGAGGCAGCAAAAAAAACCGCCCATCATTATTTCTGGCAACAGCGACTTAGCAGCCCAACAGTCTCCTAAATGTAAACAAACAGTAGGTACTGAGATGTGTTCAGACACAGCTGAAACTGACTTTAGAATTTCTTTTGTGATTTTTGAGAATACATAACACAATACGTGCAGCTACAGAGGTCAGTAAGGATTTGTTTTAAAGGTTTTTCGACAGAAGCCAGCCATGAGATCATTTACCGGCCCCTTCCTTTTCTGAATGGAGAGTCAGTGATCCGTACCGATCTGTGTTTACTATACTTCAATTTGTGAATGAACAGGCAGCTCTGTACAGAGTTCTTCCTATCCATCCATTCTGCACTGCTGAGGCTGCAGAGAAGGAGATTGAGGGCTGTGTCCTCAATCTCCTTCCTTTGTCCCAAAGGTGAAACATCAGAGGTCTGTTTAGAGTCTAATCTCAGCAACGGGGCTCCAAAAACCCCAAAAAAAACAAAATAATAAAAATAATATTGAAAAAATAAACAAATAAATAATGGTTAAAAAAAAAAATACAATAACAAAAATAAAGGTGAAACATCAGAGGTCTGTTTAGAGTCTGATCTCAGCAATGGGGCTCCAAAAACCCCCAAAAAAACTAAATAAATAAAAAAAATAATATTGAAAAAATAAACAAATAAATAATGGTTAAAAAAAAAAACCCACAATAACAAAAATAAAGGTGAAACATCAGAGGTCGGTTTAGAGTCTGATCTCAGCAACGGGGCTCCAAAAACCCCAAAAAAATAAAATAAATAAAAATAATATTGAAAAAATAAATAAACAAATAAATAATGGTTAAAAAAAAAAATACAATAACAAAAATAAAGGTGAAACATCAGAGGTCTGTTTAGAGTCTAATCTCAGCAACAGGGCTCCAAAAAAAAACAAAATAAATAAAAAAAATATTGAAAAAATAAATAAACAAATAAATAATGGTTAAAAAAAAAAATACAATAACAAAAATAAAGGTGAAACATCAGAGGTCTGTTTAGAGTCTGATCTCAGCAACGGGGCTCCAAAACCCCCCCCCCCCCCAAAAAAAGAAATAAAAATAATATTGAAAAAATAAATAAACAAATAAATAATGGTTAAAAAAAAAAAACCACAATAACAAAAATAAAGGTGAAACATCAGAGGTCTGTTTAGAGTCTAATCTCAGCAACGGGGCTCCAAAAACCCCAACAAAAACAAAATAATAAAAATAATATTGAAAAAAATAAACAAATAAATAATGGTTAAAAACAATACAATAACAAAAATAAAAAAAAAAACTAGAACTACCAGGGTCACAAAGGTCGTACTTGCGCCTGACCCCGACGTTTCACCACCAGGCTCGGAGGGAAGGGCACCGGCAAGGGTCAGGAGGACCCTTTATGGTTTCTTGTACCAGGGCCCTGAAGGTTCTAGTTATGCCTCTGTCTCACTTCATTTCTCTTTGCAAGAAAATAAAGTGACAGAGGGTCTAACCCTTTCCCACTCTATCCAGACTAAAAATATCTAAACGTAAAAAAAAAAAAAAAAAACACTTTAAAGGGATTGTCATTTAAAAAAAAACTGCTGCAGGTGTAAAGTACACGCAGTGTCCTACGCTCAACTGTTACGGCCAAACCCTAGCTTTTTTGACAGGTAAAGCTTCAACTCTTGCTGTACTTTTTTGTAAATGTCGGCACAAATTCCTTCCACTTTTAAATTCTTCTTTCATTAGAGAAATAAAGCTAGAATCTGGGAACACCTCCTCTATGCCTTGTAATACATTTTGTAAGTGAGCCCCAGTGTCAAACGACACGTTGCTGGGCTCATGAACTGCTAGGTTAATGGGGTTAATTGTGCACGGCCTGTGGTCTGATACATGCGGCTCTCTCTATGAGTCAAAGCACTCTCATGTTGATCTCCATGGGGGCGATGAGATGATTGTGGGGGTGGAGAGTTACTCACTTAAAGTGCAACACATTTTTTTCTGTCAACATTTATTTATTTATGTCATTATTTATATATTTTTTTATTAAGCACTTGCCCTCCAGAGGACTTACCCGCCTTCCTGACCAGGCCATTTTTTGAGATACGGTGCTGCGTTACTTTCACTGACAATTGCGCGGTCATGCAACGCTGCACCCAAATGAAATTTATGTCCTCCCCCCCCCCCCATCCCACAAATAGAGCTTTCTTTTGGTGGTATTTGATCGCCTCTGCGTTTTTTATTTTTTTGCTCTATAAAATAAAAAGTCTGCCAATTTTGAGAAATAAAAAATATGTTTGACTTTTTGCTATAAAACATGTCCAGTAAAAAATTTTTTAAAAATCTAATTTTGCCATAAATGTAGGCCAAAATGTGTTCTGCTACATCCCAATAGGTGTACATTAATTGGTTTACATGAAAGTTATAGGGTCTACAAACGGCGGTATATATACTGGAATATTTTTTTGTTTTATATATACTAATGGCAGCAATCAGCGACTTATGCGGGACTGCGGTGGGCATTCTGACACTGGGGGGGGAACTGATTAACTGTTACTGACATCCCAATGACACTACTACAGTGATCAGTGGTAATAAAAAGAAATGACACTGTACTGGTGACACTGGGCAGGAAGGGATTAACATGTGGGGAGATCAAAGGGTTAACAGTGTACTGTGTGTGTTTTACTGTGTAAGCACTCTGCTTTGTATTGCTCTGCTATGCAGTGTGCGGGAGCTGACAGGTGGGAGATCTGTATTGTTTGCATACAGACCTCTCCCCCCGTCAGTGATACTTGGAAATCGCCGGGTGCCAGTGGCGAATCTCCAGCCGGGACCTGGTGATCGACAGCTGAAGCCGGCAATGGCGATCCAGGTAGGGTGCTATGCAGTGTGCAGGAGCTGACAGGGGAGAGATCTGTATTGTTTACATACAGACCTCTCCCCTGTCAGTGATACTTGGCAATCGCCGGGTGCCAGTGGCGAATCTCCAGCCGGGACCCGGTGATCGACAGCTGAAGCCGGCAATGGCGATGCAGGTAGGGTGCTATGCACTGTGCAGGAGCTGACAGGGGAGAGATCTGTATTGTTTACATACAGACCTCTCCCCCTCAGTGATACTTGGAAATCGCCGGGTGCCAGTGGCTAATCTCCAGCTGGGACCTGGTGATCGACAGCTGAAGTCAGCAATGGTGGTGCGGGTAGGGTGCTATGCAGTGTGCAGGAGCTGACAGGGGAGAGATCTGTATTGTTTACATACAGACCTCTCCCCTGTCAGTGATACTCGGCAATCGCCGGGTGCCAGTGGGGAATCTCTGGCCGGGACCCGGCAATTGACAGCTGAAGCCGGCAATGGCGGCAGGGGTTGGGCGCGCATGCACGTCCCCTACCTGGAAATGCAAAATCACATATATATACGTATATAGTATTTCTGCTGTAGGGCGGCAGGCAAACGATTAAAAGAAAAGCCTGGCCAAAGCTTTTTTTGGCCATACTTCTCTTGTGGGTCACAGGAGTGCACTTACTTTGACCCAGAGTCAGCTGATGACAATCTCTAAATGACAATCTCCAACTCTCAGTGTGCGGCTCTGAGCTGAACCAGCTGTGCCCGCCTCCTCTCCTACCCAGCGCTCCAGTGAGGAACAGAGAGCGGTGACTGACAGTCATTCCTCTCCACTCCGAGCAGACTGAGAGCTAAGCTATCAGAGGTCATGTGTTCACTCAGTTCTCGGTCTTAGACCCTATGTGGGACAGCTGCAGCATAGGGGTGAGTATATAGGTTGGTTTTTTCATAATTGCAAACTTCACCTTTAAATAATAGTAATATTAGAACTTTATAATGTTACTTTTTACCGCGAGTAGCTATGAATTTGATCGGTCACAATGAATTGCCAGTGAGGAGGGACAGGAGATAGGAGTGTTAGATTCAAAAATTGCCCTATATGAATGCCGTGGCAAAGCAGTCATGCATCCATCCAGAAAATGCAGCTGTAGTTTAGGCACATGTATAAAAATTTACTTTGGATTTTAAAAGTGCAGCACTTATACTGTATTGTTGACCTGTTTCAGACACATCTGTACATCAAAATGACCATTTGAAGTTAAAGTGTAAGTCCTAGGCTCAAAATTGCATATACGTGACCTATGGATTTAAGTGGGAAATGTGGTTCCTAATTTCAGATTTGAATGTCCAAAGGTTAAAAAAAAAACTACCAGTTTCTTAAATTTCTCTATGACTCGCTATTGCAAAATATATTGTATTCTAGTAACTGGGAATAATACCTGTAAATACAGTATTTAGTATAGTAAATTCAATAAATGCTTTATTTTACATGACTATACACAGGGCTGCTGTTAGAAACCATGGGACCCCATACAGCCAACCTGAAAGGGCCCCCCTCAATAAAAAAAAAAAAACCCAAACACACAGGTATGAATGAACACAGTGAGTGATTGGTACTGATCACTTGTGTTCATTCAGGAAAGGAAGAGTTAGTGGTAGATGGGGGCATACAGGGGGCCTGGGCAGCAGGGTAAATGTATAGTGCACAGGGAGGGTAATGGGTGTTGCAGGAGGGGCAATTACTGGGACCAATCCCCTGTCTTACTCTCTCTGCTATATAGAGAGCCATACAGGGGATCTGTTCCAGTAATTGTCCCCCGCAGCCGTGTCAAATACCATCTCTGCCTAAATCCAATTTACCCATCTACCTGGGCCCCCTGCTGGCCTGGACCCCGTACAGGAGGACTGGTGGTACCCCCTTATCCACGGCCCTGACTATACATATACACTATATCGCCAAAGGATTTGGTCAGCCTGCCTTTACACGCACATGAACTTTAATGGCATCCCAGTCTTAGTCTGTAGGGTTCAATATTGAGTTGGCCCCGCCCCTTGTAGCTATAACAGCTTCAACTCTTCTGGGAAGGCTGTCCACAAGGTTTAGGAGTGTATCTGGGAATGTTTGACCATTCTTCCAGAAGTGCATTTGTGAGGTCAGGCACTGATGTCGGACGAGAAGGACTGGCTCGCAGTCTCCACTCTAATCATCCCAAAGGTGTTCTGTTGGGTTGAGGTCAGGACTGTCAAGTTCCTCCACCCCAGGGGTGGACTGACCATTCAGACACTCGGGCACTGCCCAAGGGCCCGGGGTCAGTTGGGGGCCCCCATGACATTCCCCGGTACCTTTCATAGGCTTTTTTGGGAGTGGTTTGAGTATGGAAGAGGACACAGGGGACCCATGATCCCCTATTGTCCGGGGGCCCCATGATGACATGCCCCTGGTACCTTTCATAGGCTTTTTTGGGAGTGGTTTGAGCGTGGGTGAGGACACAGGGGCCCCATGATCCCCTATTGTCCGGGGGCCCCATGAGTTGTCAGTCCGCCCCTGCTCTACCCCAAACTCGCTCATCCATGTCTTTATGGACCTTGCTTTGTGCACTGGTGCGCAGTCATGTTGGAACAGGAAGGGGCCACCCACAAACTGTTCCCACAAAGTTGGGAGCATGAAATTGTCCAAAATGTCTTGGCATGCTGACGCCTTAAGGCTACTTTCACATTGAGGAGTTTTTGAAGCATTTTTAATTTAAAAAAGCACCTGAAAAGCTCAACAAAAAAATGCCTGTGTATGCAAATGTATATCTATGTATGTTTTCACACCGAGGCTTTGCGCTTGCGGTGCGGTGTAAAAATTCCTGCTTGCAGCATCTTTGGGCCATGTTTGGTGAGTTATAATAAAGCCCCCCCAAAATGCCTCTTCCCATTGAAATCAATGGAAAATACCTGATAAATGCCTGAAAAGTGCCTCAAAAATGCTGCTGGGAAGCGTTTTTGGAGCAGTTTTTAAGTCACGTGTCCTTTAAAAATGCTTAGAATGCGCGGCAAAAGCGTGGTAAAAATGCCTATGCGTTTTTTTGCGGCAGATCAGTGTGAAAGTAGCTTAAGAGTTCTCTTCACCGCAACTAAGGGGCCAGGCCCAACCCCTGAAAAACAATCCCACACCATAACCCCCCTCCATCAAACTTTACACTTGGCACAATGCAGTCAGGCAAGTACCATCCTCTTCGCAACCATCAAAACCCAGACACGTCCATCTGACTGCCAGACAGAGAAGCGTGATTGGTCACTCCAGAGAACTCGTCTCCACTGCTCTAGGGTCCAGTGGCGGCATGCTTTACACCACTGCATACAACCGCTTTGCAGTGCACTTGGTGATGTAAGGCTTGGATGCAGCTGCTCGGCCATGGAAACCCATTCCATGAAGCTCTCTACGCACTGTCGCATCACTAGAGGGGTCACCAGCAGGAGGAAGGAGGTTCCTCTATAGAGATCATTTAGAATACTGTGTCCAGTTTTGGAGACCTTGCTTATAAAAATACAGTATATCGATGAGATAGAACAAGTCCAGAGATGGGTAACAAAAAAGGTGAAAGGTGATATGGTAAATAAGGTTCAGAAGGGCAGTATTTTCAACATGAAACCAAAATCAAGAACACGGGGCCATGACTAGTGCACCCGAGATAGGTTCATCCAGACCCCACTACACCACCATTACCTTTCCATACCAACCCCCTTTACTTACTATACTTACAGAAAACATAACACCAATTTTGGAGTAAAATGGCCAACACAGCCTTTTATTAACAAATCAAGTTTAAACACATCAACCATTCCTTATAACAGAAAACATAAAGAGTTGTCGTTGGTCTTTGAAGGCACCCCCAAAACGATCCGAAATGCACCTGCGGACAACCATATTCCACTAGGCCTCCAGCCGCAACCAACCAGCTCGGAGACAACCATACCGTCCGCAGTGCAGCACCACCACCTTCCAGTTAAACCTTGGTTAACTAGAATGTTCCCGGGCACACCATACCAACGATGGGTCCCACACCATTTTTGTACCTCCAAGATAAGAACCGCCTCCAAAGACCAACCACCGCCCAGGAACCGAAATAACCCCCCCCCCCCCCCCAGGAGGAACACAACACTCACCAAACAGGGAGGGCGGGAGGGAAGCTCTCTCTCCCACATCCAGCTCCAACTGACGCCCCTCCCCAGGACACCCCACCCTAAAGTGCAGAAGACCCCACCTACACTCTCCTCTACCAACCAGATCCCCCAGCTATCCTTTACCAACCCTAATACTATCATTAACCCTCACACGTCTTCCTTCCCACTCTGGGCCTAGTCATGCCTGCCCTGCGCTAATTCTTTTCTTCTTTTATCGCTGCGGGCATTTCTTGACATTAAACTAACTAGAGGAAAGTTCAAAACTAATCTCAGAAAGTATTATTTTACTGAAAGAGTAGTTGATGCTTGGTATAAACTTCCAGCAGAGGTAGTGAGCCAGTCAACAGTAAATAGCTTCAAGCTAGATCTATACAAGGGGAAAGCAGAGATCTATACTCAGACAAAAAAGTTCACAAAAAGCCCAAAACAAAACAAAAAAAAAAAACAACATCCCCCCCCCAAAAAAAATGGACAGACTTGATGGACCACTCGGTCTTTTTTTGCCTTCCCTTTTCTATGTTTCTAACCTGAAGGTCACACAAAGTTTGGAGGTCTTTAGCTATTGTCTCTGCAGACAGTTGGCGACTTCTGCGCACTGTGCACTTCAGCATGCACTGACCCCGCTCTGTCATTTTACGTGGCCTACCACTTCGTGGCTGAGCTGCTGTTCTTCCCAGTTGCTTCCACTTTGTTATAATATCACTAACAGTTGACTGTGGAATATTTAGTAGCAAGGAAATTTCACGGATGGACTTATTGCACAGGTGACAACCTATCACAGTACCACGCTTGAATTCACTGAGCTCCTGAGATTGACCCATTCTTTCACAAATATTGGTAGAAGCAGTCTGCATCGCAAGCAAAGGATTTCCCAGCAACACTTACCAGCCACCCTACAAAAAAAAAACAATTTGGCCCTGTTTAACAGTTTGCGTTAAAAACAGAGGAATTTTTTTAATGCAAAATGTTAGACAGGTCCAAATTGGTTGTTTTGCGGGCTGGCTGGTAAGTGTTGCTGGGAAATCCTTTGTTTGTTTGCAATGTGCATTGCCCTTCCATGTGCACCTCACTGCTAAGGCTGGTTACAGGTTGGGACAGTAGACATTTTTTGTGTAGAAGAAGTCTGTATGCCTTGGTGCTTGATTTTATACACCTGTGGCCATGGAAGTGAATGGGACACCTGAATCCAGTGATTTGGAGGGGTGTCCCAATACTTTTGGCAATTATAGTTTATTTATATATATACTGTATATATATATATATATATATATATATATATATATATATATATTGATATGCA